TAAAACCCCGTCGAGGCCACGGTCCGCACGGGGGGGCAACCCCGTGCAGGACGGTCCGGCGACTCGCACACATTCAAAATCCCTTCCCTTTCGTTGCGGAGTCTGGTCGTTGGGGTGAGTGGGGGCGGAGACAGGGGCGGTATGAGAAGGTGGAGTTTGGGTCACGTGAGAGAGGGGATATAAGGAGAGAGACGCAGGAGGGACGGGGAGAGAAGAGAGTGAACGACGGAAGGAGCCACGCTGGCGGTGGAGGGAGAAGTGGCGCCATTGCCACGTGGTCGGGGCCGATAGGCGCACTGGGGCCCAGCGTGCGCGGGCAGCAGAGCGTGCGGGGCCGCACGGCGATAGAGAGAGCCAGCAGCGTGTGCGGGGTAACCGAAGGGCGGTGTGGCCCAGGCGAGTGAGGAGAGAGCACACGGAGGGGCCGGAGGAGACGGCGTGGCGAGAGCCACACGGAGCGTGCGCGGGGCGTACGGCGAGAGAGAGAGAGAGCCACACGGAGCATGCGTGGGGCGCACGGCGAGGGTCGGAGCGAGGACCAGCGGGTGCGAGGAAAGAACCCAATAAAGGACCAACTGAGAGCGACATCTTGTGAAGGAGTCCTTTATTACATATGTATCTGTGAGTTGCTATGTGTTTGTAATTCTATGTGTGCGTCAGTCGATTTGTGTGTGTAACTACATTTGTGTGTCTAAAGTCGATGTCTGTGTGTGTGAGTCCATATGTGTATGTGTGCGTGTAAGTCCATCTGTTTATATGTGTGTGGGTCGATGTCTGTGTGTAAGTACATGTGTGTGTCTGCCTTTTTCGCCCGGGCAACGCTGGGTGCTTACCGCTAGTTACAAATAGAACACTAAGTAAGAGACCTATATACTCGCCACGTAATAAACGCTGTGTATTCTTGTCTTGGTGTGGTTTGGGAATGTTGGTGTGGTCTCCGAATGTTGTTGTCCTTGTCTTAGTGTGGTCTGGGACTTTTGTTGTTTTCTTGGTGTAGTATGGGACTGTGGTAGTTGTTGTGGTCTGGGAATGTTGTTCTTGTCATGGTGTGATCTGGGACTTGTTGTTGTTCTCTTGGTATTGTTTGGGACTGTGGTTGTTATTGTTGTCTTTGTGTGGTTTGGGACTGTGATTGTTGTTGTCTTGGTGTGGTCTGGAAATGTTGTTTTTGTCTTTGTGTGGTCTGTGGTTGTTGACAGTGCTTGGACATATATATTACAGATAACCAATTCCTAAGGATCATTGACAGGGGCGATGGTCCACCGTGGGTTTGATCAGAACATTTCTGAATTTATGAAAACCAGAGATCTAGCCTGGAATAATGCAACAAAAAAGTCAAATAACCTAATTTATTGGATTACCTATAGAACACTAAGAAAGCTATATATCTACTCGCCAAGTAATAAACGCAGTGTATTCTTGTCTTGGTGTGGTTTGGGAATGTTGGTGTGGTCTCCGAATGTTGTTGTCCTTGTCTTAGTGTGGTCTGGGACTTTTGTTGTTTTCTTGGTGTAGTATGGGACTGTGGTAGTTGTTGTGGTCTGGGAATGTTGTTCTTGTCATGGTGTGATCTGGGACTGTTGTTGTTGTTCTCTTGGTATTGTTTGGGACTGTGGTTGTTATTGTTGTTGTCTTTGTGTGGTTTGGGACTGTGATTGTTGTTGTCTTGGTGTGGTCTGGGACTGTTGTTGTTGTCTTGGTGTGGTCTGTGGTTGTTGACAGTGCTTGGACATATATATTACAGAGAACCAATTCCTAAGGATCATTGACAGGGGCGATGGTCCACCGTGGGTTTGATCAGAACATTTCTGAATTTATGAAAACCAGAGATCTAGCCTGGAATAATGCAACAAAAAAGTCAAATAACCTAATTTATTGGATTACCTATAGAACACTAAGAAAGCTATATATCTACTCGCCAAGTAATAAACGCGGTGTATTGTTGTCTTGGTGTGGTCTGGGACTGTTGTTGTGGTCTGGAAATGTTGTTGTTGTTTTCTTGTTGTAGTCTGGGACTGTTGTTGTGGTCTGGGAATGTTGTTGTTGTCTTGGTGTGGTCTGGGACTGTTGTTGTTGTCCTGTTGTAGTCTGGGACTATGGTAGTTGTTGTGGTCTCGGACTGTTGTTGTTGTTGTAGTTTGGGACTGCTTTTGTTGTTGGTGTCTTGGTGTGGTCTGGAACTATTTTGTTGTCTTGGTGTAGTCTGGGAATGTGGTAGTTGTTGTTGTTGTGGTCTGCGACTGTTGTTGTTGTCTTTGTGTGGTCAAAAATTAAAATTAATAAAAGTAAAATTAAAAATAAAATAAAAATAAAAATCACGACGTTTCGGAGGCAACACAAGCTTCCGTCTTCAGGTGGATCCGTCACAGCACGATAGCTGTATCAAGAAACTGGGACTGTTGTTGTCTTGGTGTGGTCTGACACTGTTGTTGTTGTGGTTTGTGAGTGTTGTTGTTGTTGTCTTGGTGTGGTTTGGGACTGTTGTTGTTGTCTTGGTGAAGTCTGGTACCGTTGTTGTTGTCTTTGTGTGGTCTGGGACTGTGGTTGTAATTATTGTTGTTGTGGTCTGGGACTGATATTATTGTCTTAGTGTGGTCTGAGACTGTTGTTGTTGTTGTGGTCTGGGACTGTGGTTGTAGTTGTTGTGGTTGTCTGCGACTGTTGTTGATGCTGTTGTTGTTTTGGTGTAGTCTGGGACTGGTGTTGTTGTTGTGGTCTGGGACTGTTTTTTTTGTTGTTCTGCTGCCTTGCCCAAGGTTTTAATTTAGTGCTGAAAAATCAGCAGGATATCATGTACTCATGCAATTTGTACTTAAGAGCTCCACGGTGGTGAGATGTTAACTACCTCGCCTTGTATACTAAAGGTCATGGGATTGATTACCATCTTTACACCTGCTACAGTATATATTTGAAGTTTGCATCTGTCTCTTCCCGCGGTCCCGTGTATTTTTTTCTGGGTCCTCCGATTTTATCTCCGAATTTAGAATCAACACGCGTTTATAATACTTGGCTGTGGTTATCAATTTCCACGAGATCATCCACTTAATTTAGCCGTCATTTGTGACCGCCAGGTCGCTTCAGAAAAATAGCTATATAGCTCAATTGGCCTTAGCTCGTAAAATACAAATAAAACATATTTTAATATAGTTGCTATATTTGTTCATATTGACATTTATTTCTGTTACGTGACTTGCTTACCTTTTCTCTATTTTGCACTCGTGTCGGTTTTTTCCGTATTGTTTGTTGCTGTACCTTGCTCACCATACTGAACTTCGGTTAATATTATAGAGGGTGGTCCAATAGTCAGGACACGTAGGGTTATTGTTATACAGGGTGGACACAGCATTAAGAGAATGTCCAATGAAGAACTTCGGAGCTCTGTGTTAATTTGAAGCACTGTGCAGGTAAACAAATTTACCACGAGAGGGCGATAGACCGATGCGCAGTTGTGCCACCTGAGCATCCAAACCCGGCAGATACCCGAGTTGGATTCCCGCTCAAGGCCACCTCCACTCGCACAAGTGAAAGGGATTATCTGAACCCGTGCTGGGCCTCTGACTGGATCAACTTTGCCTCAAATGAGTACCTTGTGTTGTGTGTAATAAATATCGCGACTGGGAAGACAAAGTCGGCCGGCGTGGTGCTGGCCACCCACCACCTCGTGTATAGTTCCGGCCTTCATAGGCGCTGCTACTCACTAACAGTACTTGCCCCAACAGTCTGTAACGGCTATACGGCGTATCTTTGTTTTTTTTGTCAGTGGGGAGCACAGGGATGCATTTGCCAGTCACCTTGCGCATAACCTGGCACAACAGTATAACCTATGGCACGTGGGTCTGTCTCGTGACCACCTCTTGCATATCGTCTGGTACAGCAATAAACCCATGACACCTGCGTCTGTTCTGTGACCTGCTCCTCCTCCTGCATCTAGCCTGGCACAGCAGTCAACCCATGGCACCTGGGTCTGGCCTGTCGTAGGATATCACCAAATCCATGTTCTTCTAATGCTGCATACCTGTTGCATTGGAAAGCCACCAATTCAGAATGAGCAAAACTACGACTCATCGTGTGCACAGGAAGTGAGGTTTGGTGGATCTTGCACAGAAACACAAAAACAAAGATCCCCGTATAGCCTATGACAGGCTGTTGGGGCAATTGCTGTTAGCGAGTGGCAGCACCGATGAAGGAAAGTAACTGCACAGGAGGAGGCGGGAGGCCAGCACCACGCCCGACCGCCACTGTCTCTCCAGTGGCGATGTTTACAACACACCACAGCAGGTAATCATGTTAGGCTGAGTCGACCTAGGGGAGGCCCAGGACCGGCTCAGATATTCGTCACTGATGGTGTTGGTGGCCGTGAGCGGGAATCGAACTCGGGTCTCCGCTTGTTTCGTATTGCAGCGCGCTAACTACTGCGTCATCAGTCCTAGCAGAGCCAGAAGTATGGCTCCTCCTCAACCTCCACTCACTCACTAACCCATCCATACCCTCACTTACCCACTCACTTTCCCACCCACCTACCCATTCACCCAACCACTTACTCTCCCACCCACTGCACCCACTCACTCATCCAATCTCCAAAGCACCTACCCACTCACCCACTATACCCTGGCCCTATAACCCCTAGACCCCATTATCTCAATCCTAGCTCTGGACTCTGCTCCTCCCCTCCCCCACACATCCCTATCCCCGCACGTCCACATCACCTCACCCACCACACCCATCCACTCACCCCACCGACCATTCCCATCGACCCCACCCTTTCAAACCGCACCACCTACCCGTCCAAACGAATCCCACGCACTCACAAACCCACTCACCTACCCACGAGCAGACTCACCAACTCACCAATCCCAGGCCCAACTACTGATTCACTCACTCGCCCCATCTCACACCAATTCACCCAACCACTCACCAACCTACTCACCCACCCACTCACCCATTTACCCACCCACTCAAACACCAACCCACTCAGACACCCACTCACTCACCCACTTGACTACCCACTCACATACCCACTCACTCACCCACCCACAAGACAACTTTAACCCATTGAGAGTCAGCTGCGTTCAATGTGACGTAAGCACTCGTGACCAGCGACCTTGGCGACAAGGGGTATGGAGGGAGGGGCCCCACCCTCGAGGTAGAGGATGAATCACATCTCTCACGCGTTCTTTAATGTTACTCAACAGGTATGCAGACACGTGACTTTTCCAGTTCATCACCTGACTTTGAGAAACTTGCGAAATCTGCCACGCGGAGAGACAGAGAGAGAGAGAGTCGACGTGCTCAGCCGCTTGCTTTTCCACTCTCAGCAATTGACTCAACGGTAGCACAGGAACCCACAGAGTCACACAACGAGCCGTACACTCACATAGAGACCCGTAGACACATCACAAATACACCCAGAGACTCAGAGACCCATAGACTCATCACAGAGACCTATTGACACCTCCTCATCCTGCCGTGGTCAGCAGAGCCGGTTTCTTCTGTGAGGTGAGTAAAGCTGTGATTGGCGACTCCACGCGCTATGTTGTTTTTATTATTATTCATATACAAGCATTAACATACTATTATAATTATTGCTGTTTTGGACGTACTGTATATCGAGCTTCTTTCGCACTGTAGGTCGCCAACCGTGATAATCGGAGGAGCTGTAATGCATTGCGGATTGCGAAATACCAATGGCTGCTATGCACGCAGCACTGAATATATGCACAGTCTCTACGTGACTTTATGGGTCTCTGTGTGGTGTGAGCCTATGGGTCGTTGTATGATGAGTCTAAGGGTATCTGTGTGATAAGAATGGGTCTCGGTGTGATGAGTCTATAGGTCTTTGTGGGGTGAGTTTATGGGTCTCTTTGCTATAAGTCTGTAAAGTTATTTGCATGCCTAGCAGTAATAATGAAAGAATGCGTGGTGCATCATAGGTCAGGCGCATATTGCACGCCCACTCACAAGACGTTTGGAATGCGAACTAGCAAGAAATTTGATACTTTTCTTATCTTATAGATCACACATATGCTGCTCTTGAAAGAACAAAGATCCCCCTATAGCCTCTAACCAACTGTAGGGGCAATTGCTTTTAACAGCGAGTAGCAACACAAATATCCCCACGTATAGCTAACAGGTTGTAGGGGCAAGTGCTGTTGCCCCCAAATCCTGGGGGCGCGTGGCCAGCACCATACCACCTTTGTCTCCCTAGTGAGGATATTTATTTAATACACATCGCCGCAATAAGGTTACTCATTTGAGGCTGAGTCGACCTAGTGGAGGCCCAGCACTGGTTCAGATAATCAATGCCTTCACTGGTGGTGTTGCTGGTGTCCGTGATCAGAAATCGAACTCAGGTCTCTTTCGGGTTCGTAGCGCAGCACGTTAACTGCTGGGCCACCGCTCCCCACACACACACTCACTCTCTCACTCACCCACTCACCCACCCACTTACCCATTCACACACCCACCCACCCATCCGCTCACTCACTCAGTCAACCACTCGCACTACCTACAATTCTGACGTTTCCGGCGGTGGCTCAAACTTGTTACAATGGAGCTAACGCGAGCGTTGTCATCACTTCTCTTTACAGATCTCGCCATGGCATTCGCGAGGCTGTACCAATCAAGGCTGAACCTTGGCCAAACCTTGCAGACCCTAGCTCTACTCTTGTCTTGTAAGTCTAATACGGAAAAATAAAAATAAATGCACAATGCGATAAAAATGTTTTCAAAACGTGTTTACGGTAATGACAGGGATTAACACGTCGGATTTCCCTCCATCCACTTTTCTTTCTGTTCTGTCTGTATTCTACCACGTAAGTGTTGGGGCCGCTGGTCCCCGGAGTCCCTCCCTGCTCCGTGCCTATGGCAGGGGCTCCGCCGTGCGCCGACCCCTCGCTGCTCTGCGAGCAGCTGCTGCCGTCGCTGGGCTCATCGCCCGACGGCTCCCCTCCCTGGTCCGTCCCTCCGCGAGCTCGTGTGAGAGGCATAGCTCGCCGCACGCCCTCGTTCACCTGCAGACGCTGCGTTGTCTCTCCACGGATCACGCGCTATTAAACGGGGGTCGGGGGCGAACGACGCTGCCCTCACACTGCGCGAGTCCCGGCGGCGACAGACGGATCGGGGACCTGCGGACGCACCGACCCCTTCACCCACACTACGAGCGCACACACCTGCACACATGCGACACCCACTCGTGCGCCGCTCTACGCAGCGCTCACTCACGTGGTGAACCACAGTGTACACACGCGCACCCACACGCTCACACTGCACGACAATATCACGCGAGACCACGCTTCGCTATTAATGATTTATTATCTGATACCTGGTAATTTAATGTTAAATCAGTGAGTCGACGAGGCTGGCCTACGCTGATACCTTTATACCTATTCCCGATTCATCTGCTATGATTCTAATTCACCTACTTACTTCCTGCTGGATGCCCACGGCGGTTCGTTGATCCCGTGCTCGCAGCGCACCTCGATGCGTCTCACGGACGATCGGGTCGCTGGACTGGAGAGCGTCCTGTCGCCTGGCGCTGGAGAGAAGAGCTATTTTCCCTCTGCGCCCCTCTATTTATCCTCCCTACCTCAAAGGGGATGCTGCGCTAAACAATGGGCTCGCGATCCTCTGGCACGCGCACGGCGGTTCTGGGCGCTGTTGATATGCTAATCAGTGTGCTGCGTGCAAGGCGTAAATCCTACTTAATCCCTTACCCTCCCTAACAATGGGGCCTGCGCGCTCAAGCGCAATTATCCCAACCCTCCATGACTATGCGCAACAGCCCCTGTGACCCCGCTATTCATGCTGTCCCGTGCCTCCCCTGCTCGCCCCGTCGACCCGTGGGGGTGTGTGTGGGGGGAAATGCGCCTCAACCGCGGTGGCCGAATGCCCCACGCCGCGACCACACCATATTAAGGCCGGCCGCAGCGCCGCGGTGCCACGTAGCACGGGGGAGGTCATCCAATCCCCTGATCGCCGGAAACCGTGAGAATTAATCCCGATAAGGGTCTCTCGGATAAAAACCGGTCGGCCAGGCGACCTCCCCTCGGAGCTCTATGGGGGGGGGGGGGGGGGAAATGAGTGCGGGTGTGTTCATGTGAGGTGAGGTGAGGGGGACGCGGGGTCGGCTCCGTTGCTTGGTGGTGGCGAGGTCGGGGATTTGGTGCCTGCCGAACGGCTTCGTGGCGGCGGCATCACATAAGGCCCACCAAGCTGTGTGACTCTTTTTCAGAAGCGACCTGGCGGTCAAAAAGTATAGCACATCGACGTGGTATATCATCATCATGTGGACATTTATTGCAGTCAAATACTCGAAACGGGTGGGAAAACAAGCTGCTTAGCTCAGTTGGCCTTACACCTGCTAGAATACAAAACAGTTTTAGTTGTTAAATAGTTTTATAGAAATTAAAATTATATTTCAAACCGTACACCCATTTCAAACCTTTAAAACAACCTGCTTCAGCAGCTTTCCCGCTCATTTTTCTCCTGATGACGATTGCTCGTGTTGCGATCAAAACGTCGTAGTTTTTTGTTATTTTCTTTGAACCTTTCAACGTGACTTTACCGAAAGACCCAAGAATACGTACAGTATTAAAAGAGAAATTACTGAAACAAACGCAGCATAGTGAAGAAACGTAATTTTGTTGCTTTTCATTTATTTATTCATTTCAGTGTGTTTATTGTTTTACTCCATTTTTAGCTTTCTGTGTAAAATAATCGTTAACAAATCCAAAGTTCTTTGTAACGAAAATTAATTTGTAGAATATACTACACATATCGAGGTATTACTGTGCTTATTGATTTCTTGACATTTTTACTATACGGGATTGTTGCATTCATAGCTCGGGTTGAGCAGTTATATCCGTGGGACCATTTTTGGCAGTATCGCATATTATCAAATGCTTTCGTTATTATCAATGCATTTTTGATGATAAACCATCATCACTCGAACTCCGGTCATCTTGGCAGCCAGTGGTTATTGGCTAGCCATCGAACGCAGAGGGTCACCGCATCTTCGCACGCTTTCAGATGCGCTTCTGCAGCCATCTGGAATGCTCTTCCTTCCGATAACTAGATTTGCAAACCCATTTCTTCGGAACTGCTTTTTTGTCCTTAGTTTGTTGGCCTTCCCTGCACCTCCGATCAGCACGGTTGGCTACGTATGGTGGAAAAAAATGTCAACATACATATGTTTGTTTGCATTGTCCTTGTATCGCCTTTTGGAATTGTTCTCTGGTTTAACACAGCTATGGTGTAGGCCAATCAGTTTTAAGGAGAATGTGTAACGTTATTATGAAAACGTGGTTGTTCGCATTGTCCTTGTACTGCTCGCCCTTTGTCGTTGTTCTCTGGACTATAATTGCTGAGACAAGGAGGTTGTAGCTCTGGTGTAGGTCAATCATTGTCAAGGGGCACTGCGTACATTACCATCACATCAGTGTTTGTTTGCATTGTCCTTATGCTGTTCTCCAACCCCCTCCTCCTCCCCCTCCTTCCCACCAACTCTGGCTGGCTGTGCCAGGCGCGGTGCTCTGCAAGGAGGGAGCTGCCGCTCGGCTTGCTGTGGAGGCCCCGCCGGGTGTGGTGGTGGTGCAGACGGGGGCTACGGCCACGCTCGGCTGCTCCTTCCCCTGCGGCACCGTTGGGGTGCAGAGCACAGTGGTGGAGTGGGAGATGGTTGGGAGAGGGGATAAGGTAAGAGGAGACGCGTGAGAGACTCGCAGACCTATATAAAAACACGTAGAGATGCATAGAGATGCATAGAGATGCATAGACTCTCTATACCAACTAAACAAACTTTTATTTTACCAGGTAATTCCCACTTAACTATGTAGCTATTTTCAGAAGCGACCTCGTAATAATAATGTTAGCATTTGATAATTACATGTTATACTGGCAAAAAATGGTTCTTCAAATAAAACTGCTCATCCGTAACTAAGAATGCAATAATCCCGTAGAATATAAATGTCAAACAATCATCAAGTACAGCAATACCTCGATATGCATTGTATATTCTATAAATTAAGTTTCGTGATAACGAACTATGGATTTTTTTTACTATTATTTAATACAGCAAGCTAAAAATAAAGTAAAACAATAAGCACACAGAAATGAATAAATAAATGATACGTTATATTGATCTCCGGTACTCTATAAATAGCTGTACAATTACGTTTCTTCACTATGCTGCATTTGTTTAAGTAATTTCTCTTTTACGACTTTACGGTTTGAAATATAATATAATTTTCTATAAAAGTATTTTTAAAAAATCTTTTTTTATTTTACCAGGTAATTCCCACTGAGCCACATAGTTTTTTTCAAAAGCGACCTGGCTTTCACAAATGATAACTCAACGAAGTGGCTTACCTAGTGGAAATTTGTAGCAGCCAACTCGTCTAAACATACGATGTTGATGCTAAATGTGGAAAGGAAAACCCCGAGGAACCGGAGAAAAATCCACGTGACCACAGCGAGAGAGACACGCAAACGCCAAATATACAGACATAATGAGTGTCGTTATCGAATCCACGACCTCCTTTAAAACAGGCGAGGTAGTTTACATCTCCTAGCCACCGTGGAGCCCCAAGACATCTCTCCACCACGTCCTGCTGGCCCAGATCCTCACGATCTATGGTTTCCCCCAAGCTTTTCTATATATAAATATCTATGTGTCTATATGTATCTCCACGCCTATATCTCTCTCTCTCTCGCTACTTGTCTCTATGGATTTCTCTCAGTTTCTACGCATCTCTATGTATCTCTCTTTACGTGTCTCTATGGATCTCTCTCTGTGTGTGTCTCGACACATTTCTATCTTCCTCTCTCACTACGTGTCTCTATGAGTCTCTCTCTACATGCCTCTACGCGTCTCTCTCTATCTGTCTCTCACTACGTGTCTCCATGGGTCTCTGTCTCTCTACATATCTCTCTATCTATCTCTCTCATGACGTGTCTCTATGGGTCTCTCTCTGCCTGTCTCGACGTGTATGTCTGTCTCTACGTGTCTCCAATGGGTGTCTCTCTCGTTGTGTCTACACGCTTCCCTACACATCTCTCTCTAGCTCTCTTTCTCTCGTGTCTCTACGTATCTCCACAAATGTCTCTCTCCATCTCTCTCTCTCTTCTGCGAACGTTGGGGTGCCGGAAAAGCCCTCTGTACCAGCGTGAACGGCACCCTCATCTTCACCTTCTAAAGTGCTCGCTCGTCGGCGTGGCATGTGCGATGACCACCACCATATGACTTTTTGTGTTGTGCACAGCGCATCTAGCGCCACAGCACGTGGTTTTATAGTGTCTGTGTTATTTGTTGCTGGCGACTGTGTATTTTGTATTTCGTATTGGGATCACCTCGAGTGCTGTTGCTGCTGGCAGCAATAAAAGTTGTTTTAAAAGTCAAAATTCTCTCTATTTCACTCTATATCTACGTGTCTCTATGTATCTCTACATGCCCACCATGCTTCTCTACACATCTCTATATCTCTCTCTATATATAAACATATCTCCACCTCGTTCCGGCCGGCCCAGATCCTCATGATGGACGGTGTCCCGCGGCCCATGATCCCGCGAGCTGCATGGATAGGAGACTTCTTGACCTGCAACGCCTCCATCTCCTTGTCTGATGTGCGCGAGTCCGACTCCGGGACCTACTGCTGCAGCGTCCTGCTACTCAACATGTACTATGAAGGAGAGGCCTACGTGACCCTCAGGGTCCTGAGTCCATCTTCCGGTGAGTTAGTGAGTGAGTGAGGAGTCGCCAGTAGTTGCTTTATATGTAACTTTAGCCAAAGGGACCCCCTTGGCGACCACTGTCAGGGAACACTGTGCTGCACGAGGATAGAGCAGGAGGAGGATGTCACTCTCAGGGTCTAGAGTAGGCCACGGGGTGAGTGAGAAGTTACCAGTATATGTTTTATTTAACCTAGGGGACCCCCTGGACAATCAATGTCTCTGGTTTTGAGACTGTACAACTACTCGCTTACAGAGCCGCCTGCAGATTTGATAACCGACATACTCATCTTCTTGGTTCTTTCGGTAAAGTCACGAAAAAGGAAGTAATAAAATAAAACATAATAAAATAATTCTCACGACGTTTCGGCCACAACGCAAGCAGCCGTCCTCAGGTGAAGAATGAAACACCACCAAGCTTGGAGCGTATATTTAAGCTGGGTTGGAGGGGGGAGGTGAGAAGAAGAGCGCCTAGACAAAATAATTGGCATATCAAGAGGAATTTAGATATGGAAAAAGCGTAGGAAGTGGGCGGGGGGGTTTCAAATTAATATTATGCCCGTGCATTATGCAGGATTAGCAGCATCAAAGGGAGGGGGAAGGGGGATAGCATTAACAAAGGAAAGGAATGTTAATGATACCCCCCTTCCCCCTCCCTTTGATGCTGTTAATCCTGCATAATGCACGGGCATAATATTAATTTGAAACCCCCCCGCCCACCTCCTACGCTTTTGCCATATGATAAATTCCTCTTGATATGCAAATTATTTTGTCTAGGCGCTCTTCATCTCACCCCCCCCCCCCTCCAACCCAGCTTAAATATACGCTCCAAGCTTGGTGGTGTTTCATTCTTCACCTGAGGACGGCTGCTTGCGTTGTGGCCGAAACGTCGTGAGAATTATTTTATTATGTATTATTTTATTATTTTATTACTTCCCTTCTACGTGACTTTACCGAAAGAACCAAGAAGATGAATCCCTGCAGTCACGAAAGCTTTAAATCGAAATTTAACCGACATACTATTGAGTTTTGCAGACAGTTCTATGTTCTGTATGTGAATGAGTCGGCTCGTGACCCCCGTGCTCTGTGGCACGTCGTGGAGGGACTGCTGCACTCAAACCACCCATCAACAAGTCAACCCAGTCTGTGCATAGGACTTGTGATGTTCTCCGCTAATAAAATGCTGACGATCAAGACGGCAGTATCTAACATCTCCCATATAGCCTTTTACAAGTGCTGTAAGCGAGCACCTATGAAGGTCGGCATGGCTCACGAGAGTTGGATGGCCAGCACCATGTCCTGCCGCCTTTGTTGCCATAGTGACAAAGTTTAATTACCACACCAGGTACTCATTTGACGCTGAATCGACCTAAGGGAGGCCCAGAACCGGTTCAGATCATTTTCACTGGTGTTGGTGGCCATGAGCGAGAATCAAACTTGTGTCGCCGAGTTCATAGCGCAGTGCACAAACCGCGACCACACCAATCAACATACATACACACATATATACACAATGTCAGCTGTCCCTGTGATGGCAAGAGCATTATGAGGAGGAGGTGGGGATCCCGTTTGTGTTTGGTTCATGCAGTGACTCCTAAGGTGGACAGCCCTATGGCCTCGCCTATAGCCTCCGAGAGGATCGGAGTCATTGCTGCCATCATGCTGATCGTGGCGATTGCCATTCTCCTGGCGATCTGCGTCGCTATTAAAAAATGGTGAGTCACACACTTCCCATAGAGTCGGCACTGCCGGTAAACTCAACACTGCCCCCCATTATATTATATTTTGGATTTATAAAACACCGTTCGCCAAAGCACTTGAAAATGCTTACCGACTATAGTACAAAATGGCAAAATAAGGGATAGGAATTGGGGTAGTGACTAGGGTGGAAGTAGCAAAGGTAGAGGCTGTGGCTGGGGAGGGGTTAGGGGCGCTAGGTTGTGCTGGTTGGGGTGGCGGAAGAGGAAGGGAAAAGGCAAGAGAAAGGAGATAGGACCTGAGGGCAATGCGAAAAGTGGAGAGCGAGGGGGAGAGTTGGATGTGGAGAAGGAGTTTGTTCCAGTGTAAGGAAGCAAGCAGAGAGAAGGAGCGAAAGCGAGATCGGCCGCAGCGTGGAGGAGGGACCGCAAGAAGATAGGCAGCTTGTGACCAGAGCAGGCGTGATGGAACATATAAGGAAATGAGAAAAGAAAGGTAAGAGGGGCAAGGGCGTCGGCAAGGAGACCGATCAGGAACGAGTCTCAATAATCCAGACGAGTGAAAACTAAGGGAGTGCACAAGAAGTTTCGCAGCAGTGATAGTGATGAGGGGGATCATTTTTCTGATGTTGAAAATATGGAAGTGGCATGGAAGTGGTGGTGGCGATGTGGGCAGGGAAGGAAAATGAGGAATCAAAGGTGATGCCAATAATTTGTACAGAAGCGAAGGAAGTGAGACTGAGCTGGGGGAAAGATATGGAGGGGAGGAGGAGGAGGAGAGCAGGAGGCGGGGAACTAGAAAGGAAATGTCGTGTCATCCATGCTTGGATTGCCATTAGGCAGGATGAGATGTGGTCGGAAAGGTCGGGAGTAAGAGCCTGAAATAAAAAGAAGACTTGAGTGTCGTTGGCGAATAGGTGATGAGAGAGATTGAAAGAAGAAAGTATGGGCTCGAGGGGGAACGTGTAAAGGGAGAATAGGAGAGGACCAAGTCCAGAACCCTGGGGGATGGCAACCGTGACAGGGGTGGGGGAGGAATAACCACGGTTAAAATAAATAGTGGATGAACGGGAAGTGAGCTAAGAGCAGAGCCAATGAAATGGGGCACTAGAGATACCGAGGTTAGACAGAGTGGATAAGAGGATGGAGTGATCAAGGGTGTTGAAAGCTGCGGACAGGTCGAGCGAAATTATGACAGATGAAAGGTCTGAGTGACGTGAGTTAGCCAAGTTGATGTGCACGTGGAGGAGAGCGGTTTCGGTCAAATGGAGTGGGGGGAAATCAGACTGGTGTAGGGGATAGAGTGAGAAGAGATGTAGGTAGTGAGTCGGATCGAACAACAACGAGTTTGGAGTAGTAGGAAAGCAATGAAATAGGGTGATAGTGTGCAGGGATGGGACTCAACACTGCCCATAGACTCAACACTGCCCATAGACTCAACACTGCCCCCATAGACTCAAAACTGCCCCCATAGGCTCAACACAGCCCATAGACTCAGCACTGCCAATAAACTCAACACTGCCCCTATAGACTCAACACGAGCACATAGACTCAACACTGTCCCCCATAGACTCAACACGGACCATAGACTCAGCACTGCCGATAAACTCAACAGAGTCCATAGACACAACACTGCCCAAAGGCACAACAGTGCCCCTCATAGACTCAACACTGCACCATAGAATCAACCCTGCCCATGGACACAATAATGCCCATAGACACAACACTGCCTATAGAACCAACACTGCACAAAGTCAGTGTTGCCCGTGTGGATGCTTGTTGATGCTTATGGATGCTTGGGAATGTCTGTGGATGCTTGTGAATGTTTTTTGATGTCTGTCAATGTCTGTGGATATCTGGGGATGCTTGGGGATGTTTGTGGATGCTTGTGGATGTCTGTGGATGCTTGTGGATGTCTGTGGATGCTTGTGGATGTCTGTGGACGCTTGTTGATGTTTGTGGATACTTTGGATTTTTGTGGATATCTGTGGATTATTGTGGATGTTTGTGGATGATTGTGGATGTCTGTGCATGTCTGGATTATTGTGGGTGTCTGTGGACGCTTGTGGATCTCTGTGGACGTGTGTGGATCTCTGTGGATGCTTGTGAATGTCTGTGGATGCTTGTGGATGTTTGTTGATCTCTGCTCTCTCGTTGTTACCACTGCTACCCTGTGCTGTGCTAGCGATAGGTGCAGGAGGCCATCGAGATCGAAGAGAGTGGAGGCAGATGAAGAGAAGCAAATGAATAAGTACATTCCACATTGGCCAGGATGGTCCAACAGTTAGGACAAATCGGGTTCTTGTTATACAGGGTGACAGATTCGATTAGACCTAAGTTTGTTCAAACATAAAATAATAATTATTACTTTGGTGTCCTTGTTGGGTAAGGAAGTAAAGTAACATAATTAATAAGCAGTTGATATTCGAAATTCGTGCACAGTTATAGCATGGCATGCGCACCGCCACAACACAGAACTCACGCGCTATTATAATGTGGATCACACGTCGTTATAATGCTGTTTCCGAGCAGTCGATAACAAACTACTTTATTGAGCTGCGTGGCTGAGCGGTACAGTGAATCAGTGCGCAGAGTGATGCAGTAACGCAATGTCGGCGTGCCTTCAGTTATTTTTCACGCCATGTCACTGTGTGGAGTGCGTAATACATCATATTTCATCAAACGTTATTGTTGCTACGTTATTCATGGTGGCATAGTTTTTGCTTATAATGCGTTTAAACTCAACACAGTTTACATTTTTCAGGAACGCATCTACTCCAAGCATGTTACACGAGGAGTTGCTGGACTCACGTTTAACCGAAGCCTCTGCTTTCTTTGTTTCAGAGAGAAGGAACATCTCAATCCCTCCATCGAGACAGGTACAGACATCCGACTTACAAACATCCACACTTACGAACATCCACCTGACTTACGAACATCTACACTTAAGCACGTCCACAATTACGAATGGAACGTCATAAGACATTATTTTTAACCATCTGACGTTCGTTTATAAGCCGAATTGTGGAATACATTTTGTTTGGCTCAGTGATTTTCCGCTAGATGTAACAAGTCCCCAGCTTCCTGATGGGACTCATTATGCCCCTTCCAGGACTTAAAGTACCTGAAAATAAAACAGATTTTCTTTTTACATGACTTTATTTTACATGTTATTTATTAATATTACATGTATTTATATTATCATCATGTGGGGTTTTATAGCAGTAGCCAAATCCTCTAAATGCATGTTGATTCTAAATGTGGTGGCAAAAAACAAAGGACCCAGATAAAAATCCACACTACGACCATGGGTAGAGAGAGAACGCGCAGACTCAAATTGGTGTCAGAAACGGAACCCCTTTGCAAGACGAGAATCGCTTCTATTCCGTGGGATGATTATATTATTTATGAACAAATTAATATATTTTTCATTACAGACAAGGATTTGCCGTGTAGCCTTTGACAGGGATGTTAGGGCAAGTGTTGTTCGCGAACAACCGAGTAAGAGGACAGGGGAGTAGAGTAAGATTATGAAATTCATTTTAACACTGGCAATAAAACAGTTTAATTCTTTAAATTAACATTTTACTTATTATTTTCGTTATTATTTATATCCCTTCATCTTCTTCTTCCTGGATGAACATGTAAAGATTATGCACCCTCCATTAGAGGTTTTTTTGGGTTAGATCACGTAAATATATAAATGTGTCGTTAAAACAGGCCACCACCCGACACAGCCAACTAGTAAGGGTTGTCACGTAAACAGAAAATGCCAAATCGTCACTAGTACAGCACACCGGTGTGTTGGAGAGCCAAGCCACAACATTTGCAATCTGATTACGACGTTTCGCCAGTTAATGCAACTCACTTCATCAGGCGACAGCCAGATTTGTTGAGAAGTCCACTTGTTTTGTTCCTTATATAGAAGCGTAAACGTGGTGACCACACTTCTGTGCTCTTGTGCAAAGTGGGGGGGGGGGGGGATTACTGAGTCAACGTACATTATGCATGTGCATCATACGAGCCCTTTGATCTTGTCCTTCCTGTCCATTGTGTTTATTAGAATAGCCGTACCAACGATAATACCTCTTGAAGTATGGTGACCTGTATAGGCATGCATTTATACAATGTATTATTTTATTATTTGCTTCCACGCAGCACTTCGTCCATAGCTATCTAACCCAAAAAAACTCTTATGGATACTGGTTGCGAAAGCCTACGTGTTAATACGAAAACAAATCCTAAACTATTTTCAAAAGATAATTCATGCATACGTGCAAAATGTTAATAATGAAAGTGAGTTTCAGCATTCGTTAACATAAATATAATATCTGTAGTAACGTTCTGTGTCCTGACTTTTTGGCCACCCTGTATAACAATAACCCTATGTGTCCTGACTTTTGTGCCACCCTGTATAACGACAATGCTATGTGTCCTGACTTTTGTGCCACACCTCTCTCTTTCTTCCTCCTGGTCGTCCTTAGCAGAATGACGAAGGGAAGAGCTTCTTTCATAAATGCCACCAAGAAGAATGCTGGCTACCATGATCTACAGAGCTGGGAATCAGTTCCTCGACAGATCTCATTTCTCTTTCTGTCTCTCTTTGCATGCAGATCTGTGGTGGCAGTGAGATGTTATCTCCCTCGCATGGTATGCAGGATGTCGTGGGTTCACTCCCGATCCGGACGATGCCTGTTGTATATTTGGAGTCCGCATGTTCTCTCTCTTTCTCCCCATGGTTGTTGCATGGATTTTTTTCCGGGCCTTCCGTTTTTTACGTCGGACTGAACTTCTTTTGAACAATACGTAGCCTACCGTGCTAATTGGAGGTGAATCAACATGAGAACCACCATGAGTTTAGAGTATTTAGTGTGCCTTACCTGGTATATAAAATAGTTATTTTTTTATATTTTACGTGGCTAAGGTGCCATGCAACTCTTGCCAGCCGACAGACAACAAACTATTCCGCAATTACATTTAAAAAATGTAACTTAATAGCAGTAATTATTTTGTAAAATTACAGTCACATTTCAAAGTCAGTGATGGTAATCATAGGGTGATTTGAAATGCAGACAGAGAGCCAGAAGGGAGATGCCAAGAGACGAGACTAGGTGGTTCCAAACACTTTGGGGCAGCTACATTAAATGCTTTTGATAGAAAATTGCGTCAAATCTGGGGAACTGTTAACAGATGATCAGACACGCTTAACGGTTCTTTCAGGATTTCCCAACAGAAAAAAGCATGTCAGACAAATAGCCAGAGATCTCCTGAATATCAAACATATTTATTATTTCGTCTTTAATAATCGTATTTATTTATTTATTTATGACAATGACATCCGTACGTTTAATTTATTTCTCACCACACGTAGCCAGCCATGCTTAAAGACTGGTGACATGGGGCCTGGAATACAATTCAGACCACCTTGCATCTCTGTGTAAACCATGTGCTTATTCTCGTTATACATGGTGCAAACATTCGCACGAATGTGTTTGGGAGGGCATGATAACCGCATTAGAAACCGCTTGGGTAGTGTTGGTTCATGATTAGCTCAGGATTGATGGGCCGTACTTTAGGCCCCAAAGACAAAGATCCCCCGTATAGCCTTTACAGACGGTATGGGCAAGTGCTATTATTAGCACCTATGAAGGTCGGCACTGCACACGAGGGGGCGGCCAGCACCACCACTTGAGACCTAAGTCGACCTAGAGGGCACGCCCAGAACTGATTCAGATAATCGGCACTGGTGTTGACCGTCAGTGGAAATCCAACTCGGATCTCTGCTGGGGTTTGTAGTGCAGCGCACTAACCACTGCGCCAACGCTTTCCCCACATTTTTGGCACCACCGTTCGTCAGTGGGTCCCGTTCACCGCTAAATATCGGAACGCAGGCTGCATTTCAGCTTCAATGTTATTGAGAGAGGCGTCGTAGCGCCGTCGTTTTTGAAGACGTTGTTACTCACCGCAGAGAACCGCGCTCTACGATAGCTGGCACCAAACTGTGCCACACATCTGCCCGCATGACCTTGTGGGAGGATCGGTACTGGTTTTTTTTAAGTTTAACATTAAATCTATAGCCATTCTTAATTATAGAATAACACTTGTTTTACTTTCTATAACATATGGAAGAGCCTGGTGAACTTAAAACAATATGTTAAGTTATATCAAATTCACAACACGAGGTGACCTTTGCTGGGTTTCGAGACGGAATGGAGGCCTTTTACAGTAATACCCCTGTTTGTGTCGGTGATGCGTTCCTGGAATGTGCAACAGATATGGAAATGACATAAATCAAAGCGATTTACATGGTAGGTGGAGGGGAAGGCTGAGAGGCGATGCAAATCAGGTAGCTGTATGAAAAATAAAGTGGCGATGTATTTGACAAAGAGTTAACAGTGGGTATTTAAGTCGGGGTATTACTCTACCTACAGAGCGAAATCGTGACACCAGCGTGTTCACGTTGCACGTTTGATGTACATTTATACTTGCTGACAAAAAAGGTTGATTCTATGGTGTAATGGTTAATCTGATCTCCAAAACAGCTGCTTCTCCTGTGAGTCGGTTAAACTAGAAATTGATCATTTATCCACTTTTTCTGAGAGATTATTGCAGTGCTTTGTTACTATACTCGAGGTTCTGATGAAGAACTTGGGCCAATTACTGCTGGTCCAGAATGTGACCGCCAAAATGCTCACGCAAACCTCATCCCTTGAGCACATTGCCACCCCTATAATAAAATACTGTATCTGCATTGGCCTCCAATTAAATTTCAGATACAAATTAAATTAGTTCTGCCTACATACAAGTGTCTTAAACAGCCTTTCACATTATTGATTTGAAGCTTTCGTGACTGCAGGAATCCACACTCTTTGGTTCTTTCGGTAAAGTCACGTAGGTATAAAATAAAATAAATCACGACGTTTCGGGCACAACACAAGCATCCGTCATCAGGTGGGAAAGCATGGTATGCTGCTGAGACAGACTGTTTTAAAAGGTTTGAAATGAGTGTTGCCCAAGGGTCATAAAGAAGTGGCCGGGGCTAGTGATGTTAATGTGAGAAATTAACATGTAACTGTAAGATAGGAGAGCCTTGCACATTTTTTTTTACATTCAACAACTGATACACCTGCACGTACCGTCACGACCTCTCCGATCCGCTGATGTATCATCTGCACCTGGGGTGACCGAGCCTTTGCATGCGCTGTGCCAAGACCACGGAATGCCCTCCCACAGCAGTGGTTAGAGAGGCGAGCCCACTTGCCCGTTTGCGTCTTCTCTGAAAACTCACCTGTTTTGATTGGTCTACACTTCCCATGTTATGACAAGTGGACTACGGACTTTGTAGTATTTATGTCACGACTTCGTTCATGGATGAATTGTGCCTTATAAATGTAAATTATTATTATTGATAACTGCAGGGTGCATATTGTAAAATGTGGGCTGCCATTATTGATGCCTATTTACATCGTAGAGCCAGTCTTGCTCTATAATATGTTATTGTTATTTTAAATTGTATAATTGATATGATATATGCGTAATGATCAGTTTTGAACAGATGAAAAGTTTATTTATAATTGCCCTGTGAGCTAAGAAGCTCTTGAATCGGGTTTCATCAACAATGTAGGTGTTAACTATGATGGGAGCAGTATTTTAAATCATAGTACCGGTATAGTGTTGCATATTATAGTTAGTATGAGCATAGTAATATGAATAGTGGTTAGGAAAACCGTACTATAGGCTGTCTCCAGTTTTCGACAGTCTGACAGTCTATGATGTTTATATGATGCATGGATCAATTTAGCTGGATTTACGACGCATCTTCCGAAACGACTCCGAACGCATTTGAACAGAGTCTGCTTCCCGACGTGACTTTGGAAGAAAAAAAGTACATGGGCAAGTGATGATTCTACTGTCTATGGGAACATCGTGTCCGAATAACAACGACCCGAAATACGACCACGGGGTTTATATGAACGCATTGCAGAGTCAGAAAAGTGGGGACCACCTGTATTATAAATGGTAATTAGGATGAATATCACATACACACATTCCAGTATGCGGAATATATTTGTTAATGTTAACACGTACGTTTTCATGAATGCAAAGCCACGTGTAGTAGCACTGGAGATCCGTTGGTGTACCGATTAAATAAAGAGGTGCCGTGTTTTGAATGCTCATTGTGCGGGTTGCTCCTTTCCAAACCGTCTCGCTTCCCCTCTAACAATGGTGGCGAAAATCGACGAACCTTCCCACTGAGCCTGGCAGTCCACTTTTACCCACCGGACGAACTGCCTTCGTCCAGTCAAACCCCGGTTTTACATCGGTGGGATGGGTTCCTGAAAGGTGCGATATGAATATTGAAAGGACGTAAATCAGAGCAATGTATTTTTTTTTTCACCACCCCCCCCGCCTCGAGAGCTGCACGAAGACAACGGAGGGTCACGTTGACGCTGCGGTAATCCGAGACCTACACAACGTTCCATGAAACTACAAAAATAACCCAGCTCGACACTAGTATAGGGCAGTACACTTTAACACAAATCATCCAGGGTACAATAAGATACAGTACACTGAAAAAAAATCACCAACATTCTGTAGATAAATTATATATTTTTTACTCTATAGTAGAGTGCATTTCTTTACGGGTGACGTAAGGTAGTTTGTGTACAGGGTAGGTGGAGGCGAAGACTGAGAGGCAACGGATACGGGTGTAAGGGATGTCAGCTGTAGGAATGGAGATGGACAGTGGGTTAAGGGGCATGGAGAGGATTCGCTGCCAAGTGGAGAGGAACGGGCGAGGAGATAGGGGCATTCCGGCGGGGATCGGATCGGGAGAGGGCTGTGGGCAGGTGTGGGCTGGACAATGCCGTAATTATAATATTCAAACATGCTCAAAATGTCCCCCCCCCCTCCAATATATTGCTATAAAATAGATTTCTGTTAATATGATTGTGGTTATGGTTGTACTTTATTAATCCCTAATCTCTCCCATTACATACAATGAAACAAGAAAAGGTAAAAAAGAAAAAAACAGAGCAATGTAATACAATACACTGTTAGACATTATTATGAAAAATAAATAAAAGTCCATCCTATGTGTTAGTGCATTTTTTTTATATTTTAGGCAAGAAATGGCAGGAAATTCGTTTTCAAATTTAGATATTTTTTTCTGGGGGGGGGGGCCCCAGACCTCCTGAAAGATTTGTTCCCCCGCAATGTTGACTCCATGGCTACGGCCTTGGGGCTGGAGGTGAATAAAGGACGGATCCTCTCCTCGTCTCGGCTCTACTCTACACGGGAAATGACGGACGTTGCCCATCGCCCGCAACGCTGCAGCGAGGATGATCCCCGAGTCTGCACGGGTCTGCTGAGCCCCGAGCAGCCGACGAGTGATGGTTGGGAGTGTGGAGGTGATAGCCTTACACCGGGGTAAGTAACGATGCCAAATATTATGGGAGACGGAGAAAGAAAACACGGACACAGGAGCAGGTTTAAATCATTTTTATTTAATAGACATGATTCCTTGTAAAAATGTTTCAGTTTCGTTGCCAGAAAAAAGGGAAAAACCCTATTCTTACGGAAATTAATTTTACACATGATATTTCAGGCTGCATTTACAGTGGTTAATTGGTTAGAGTGTTTTCCAAACTGCACAGGAGTGACTTAGTAAGGTAACATTTGTTAGGACATATAGTACTGGTTCATGTGTGTGATCAGATTGTAATGTTCAGTTTTTTGGCAGAGTGAGAGAATGCAGGATAAATGTTATTCATAGGTTGTAAAGGGGTTTCCTTGGCAGTATTTGATGCAGGCAGGGAGTAATTAGTCTGAGCAGATAGATTCATCTTCTTGGTTCTTTCGGTAAAGTCACGTAGAAGGGAAGTAATAAAATAATAAAAATAAACATAATAAAATAATTCTCACGACGTTTCGGCTACAACGCAAGCAGCCGTCTTCAGGTGAAGGTGGAGAATGAGACACTACCAAGCTAGCTTGGTAGTGTCTCATTCTTCACCTGAAGACGGCTGCTTGCGTTGTAGCCGAAACGTCGTAAGAATTTTTTTATTATGTTTTATTTTTATTATTTTACTACTTCCCTTCTACGTGACTTTACCGAAAGAACCAAGAAGATAAATCCCTGCAGTCACGAAAGCTTTAAGCAGATAGATTGTTTGACACTGGAAGTGTATGAACAGGTTCAGTGTTTCAAGCAGAGTGGTACAGTATGTAGGCCACTCCCGGCCACCGCGGTGTCTCGGTGGTGGTCGTGCTCTACCTCTGCCGTGCACTTTCAATGAGAGAGAGAGTTCCCCATTGATGAACCTCCTAAGACCCCCATATTTCTGTGAGTACGGAGGCTGCTCGTCTCCCAGGCATTTACCCTGCTGCAACTAGTGACAGGCGCGTGTCTTCACTGCATCAGAGCCCAGGGTTCTGATGCTGTAACCCGCTCCTGAGTCTTGCTCAGGGGTCTGAAGCTTCAAGTTGCTCCTGCATAAGCTGTATGTTGACTTATTTTTCACGGTACATAGCAAACTGCGGTTGGGTGACTGGGGGAGACGCGAGTGGGTTGGTTAATGTGATGGTGTTGTGATTGTTTAGTTTTGTTCTTATTAAAGTGTTGTTGGTTAAAAGTCGGTGGTTCCTCGATTCGGTTGACTGTGCTGAAGAGTGGCTGCGAAGCTCGGAGCGAGTGGGCTGGACTGCTTCACGAGGGGTTTGGAGAGAGGTCATGTCGAATCTGACGGACCTAAACCTCACAACCTCCCCTTCTCTAACCCCTACACATCCCTCTATTATGACCACGTCCGCTCCCCTACTCTTGCCCATCCCCGACGCGCCCCTCTTTCGTGGCCACCTACCCTCCCCTATGCCTCATTCCACTCCGTCATCGTGTTGTGAACTATGCGTTTACAGAGCACCTTGGGGTAAAGTGTTCTCTCTCTGTTAACATAAATATATACTAACTAGCTGTACTACCCGGCTTCGCCCGGGACTTGTATCTACCACGGCCGGCCGCCTTTGTCTCCCCAGTGGCGATGTTAATACGCTACAGCAGTTACTCGTTTGAGGCAGAGTCGACCTAGGGGAGGTTCAAATAATCGTCACCGGTGGTGGGCCGTGAGCGGGAATCGAACTGGGTTCGCCGGGTTGGTAGCGCAGCGTAGCGTTAAGCACTACACCCACCGCTCCTCACACACCACACACGCACAGACACACACACAGACACACACACAGACACACGCAGACACACACAGACAGAGACACACACACACACAGACAGCACGCTAACCACTACACTACCGCTCCCCACACAGCACACACGCACACACACAGACACACACACAGACACACACACACAGACAGCACGCTAAGCACTACACTACCGTTCCCCCTACACAACACACGCGCGCGCGTCCATAGGTACACATACACGCGCTTGCTGCAGACACACACGACTTTCAAGGTGCGTACGGCAGTAAACGACTGAAATAATAAAGCGGCAATGCTGTGTAAGGAACGCCTTAGACCCGCATTACACATTTGTGTAATGCGAGCGTAAACACACAAACACACACAAACACATACACAATACACACACACATACATGCAGACACACAGACAGACACATAACACACATACATACACACACATACAAACACAGAAACACATACACACATACATAGACACACACATACATACACACAAACACATGCACACACGTACATACACACATACATAGAGACACGCAGACATACACATAAAGACATACAAAAAAACCCACATACATACACACAAACATACACACAAACACATACATACATACATACACACATACATAGAGACACACAGACATACACATAAACACAAACACACATACACATGACCCGGACTTGGATCCACGATGCCCGGCCGCCTTTGTCTCCCCAGTGACGATGTTCACACACGACAGCAGTTACGCGTTTGAGGCTGAGTGGACCTAGGGGAGGGCCAGGTCCGTTTCAAATAATCGTCAGCGGTGGTGGGCGTGAGTTGGAATCGAACTGGGGTCGCTCAAGCAGCTTAATGACTGTTTGTACAAAGAACATATAAAGAATCGATTATAATAACCAGGCAAGAGTCCACATTATAGACTGCCAGTACACGCACTCAGCTTCATAAGCAGGCTAGAGTGTACATGATAGAGTGGCAGTACGCTCACCGAGCTTAATAAGCAGGCTACAGTGTACATGATAGACTGGCAGTACGCTCACCCAGCTTAATGAGTATTTGTACAGTGAACATTAAAGTAATCGATTGTTGGCGCGTTGGGTTTAAAAGTAATATTAATAGCACACATTGTGGTGGGGGTGTAGTGAAGAGTAGGAAAAACTTTGATAAATTTACCTCAGAGTGGCGTGGTGGGTGTCGAGGCCTAGTAGCGTGCAAAGCCTGCGGCCTCGCCTAAAATTGTCGGCTTGGAAGAGGCAGGGTACGGGTGGCGTTCCTTCCCCCCCCCCTAGCGCTCCAACAATACTGTGTAATGGCTATTATTTAATTAAATACGGAGCTTATGAAAGTGGCGAAGGCGTGGCTAGCTGTTGGCAGGGGCAACCGCCGTCCAATGAAACTGCAGCCCTTGGCGAAGGCGTGGCTAGCCGTTGCCAGGTCCAATGAAAGCGGCGAAGGCGTGGCTAGCCGTTGCCAGGGGCAACCGCCGTCCAATGAAAGTGCGTATGGGCCAAAGTCCACACACACACAGACAGACAGACAGACATGAACGATTTTATATATATAGATTAGGTAATCCAATTCTGTTGGCCGTTTTCTTCACAGACGAAAACGCTGCAGTGCTCAGCACATTCAGCAGAGGGCAGCACCACTCCACTGCCCTATCCATCCTGCCATGTGAGAGTAACGTCTGACCAATCAAACCAAGAGTTAACGTTTTTTTTCTGAGCAGAAATTGAAGCAAATTTAATTACAGAACTATAACGATGTTTCGTGTGTGCCTGTGTCTCTGTGGGCAGCGGTAGCGCGATGTGCGCCGAACCCTGTGACCCAAGTTTGATTCCCGCTCACGGCCACGACCACAAACAAAAGTAATAGCATTGATCTAAACCAGGTCCTGAACCTCCCCTACGTCTACTCAGCCTCAAATGACTACCTGGTGTGGGGTGTAAACATCGCT